AGCAGGTGCAGAGGAGGAGGGAGAGCAGGTGCAGAGGAGGAGGGAGAACAGGTGCAGAGGAGGGACAGCAGGTATAGAGGAGAAGGAGCAGGTGCAGAGGAGGAGTTGGTACTGGGGATGTTGTGTGGTAGAAACTGGGTGGCAAGTTCTTGGTATCAAACCGATTGGTCCATGATATCTGTTCGCTCCTCTCTTCTATCTGCAGTTCGCCTGGTGGCCCCTCATTCCCTCCAAGTCCTTCACATTGAAACCGAGAGATGTAACATAAGCTGGAAGCTCTCCCAGGTCTCTCACTACGTTGAACCATACTTGGAATTTGAGGCCCGTAGACGTCTTCTGGGCCATAGCTGGGAGGTGAGGAATGGCCAAGCCTCTGCCTCTGCTCCTTCCTGTTCTGGTGCATGTCTTTGTCTGTTTCTACATGCTAGTGTGCAGCTGATGCAGCCTGGTCCTCCTATATGGCTTGACAGTGCCTGCTTTGCCCATGTTTCTATTGCTTGGGGTTGCATCTGGCTCCATATCTGTGTAGTCCCTAGGGTAAGGTGGCCTGTGAGACTTGGCAGCCACTTTTCCACATTCTAAATACAGCATGTTCCCTGGCTGTGGGGAGAGGGACGGGGATGGCAGGGGGGATGACAGGGACTGAGACTTGCCATCCACATACTTGACCCTTTACTTACCTGTAAGAGGAGGAAAGAAATGTGACGCTGGGACTCAGGGCCCTAACAGCCAGGGAGTCGGGGAGCTTTTGAGAAAGCTGGGAAAGAGGCTGTTTGCTTAGCCTCTTGACCTGGTTGTGGGAGTGTGGTGGACGGTGGGGCTGAGCTGGCACCCATCTCTGCCCAGGATGCACCCCTATTTAGCCTCAAGCAGAGGCAGCAGTGGATCTTCTTGGAGATGCTTACCCCTAACACCTCATATGAGCTCCAGGTGAGGGTCATAGCTCAACGAGGCAAAAACAGGACCTGGAGCCCCTGGAGCCAGCCCCTGGCCTTTTGGACAAGGCCAGCAGGTAGGTACAGTGGGTGGCACAGGGGAGCTGGGCAAGGGCCAGGGTGCTCTGGGAGCTGCAGAGGTGGGTCAGTCTGCTTCCCCCTCATCTACTGGCCCCTCCCAAGGGCTCACTTACCAGAGACAGGGCTGCCGAGGGGATCAGCCATGTTCACGAGTGGTAGGAAGATTCTTCCCTTGTATTCTCTCTAAATTCCCAGAATTCAGGGTCAGGGGTTACTTTTTCCCAGCCTTCCCTGCAGGACAGGTGCTGTGGGGCAAGGTAGCTCTACTGAAAACAAGGTAGGCATAGCCTCTCAGCCTGGATACTGTAGAGCTCCCATGCCGGTGGGGACCCTTGAGGCTCCATCCCTCACTGTGCCACTTGCCAAGTTCAAGTGACACGGAAGCTCTAGGTGTGGTGTGATGCCCAAAGGCAGATGGAGAAAAGGTGTCAGTGACTGGGGGGGGGGGTCACACAAGGCAGCCATGGGCTCTGCTGGGAGTGCCATAGGAACATATCTCTTAAGAACAGCCTGCCTTTCTGGAAAGCTGGGCTTAAGCAGGACTGAGGGCGGAGTCCCCAGCAAAAGCAAGACACTGGCTAGACACTGGTACCTAGCAGGGTGTGACTGATGTCCAAGATGTGTGTGACCTTCTGAGGGGCCACATTTCAACTTCCACTTCTCGCACCCTGGACAGATCCCATGAAGGAGCTCCTCCCCCTGTCATGGCTCAGATGCCTTCTACTGGTCCTCGGTTGTTTCTTTGGCTTCTTGTCCTGCGTCTACATTTTGGTCAAGTGCCGGTACCTTGGGCCATGGTAAGGAAACTCCTGGCCAGTCTTCCCTTCCCACCCAGTCTCCAGCAGGCACATGTTTCCAGGTTGGGCTGGGCTGCACCCTGTTCTCTCATACCTGCCCTCCCTCTGTTCCCTTCCTCAGCAGCTAACTTGTCCCTGTGCCTCATCCCCACAGGTAGAAGCTGGTATGGGAAAGGGAGGTAAACCTTGGGTAGAAGAGTCCTCTGGGCCTCCCTGAAGCCTTCCGGAGTCCCTGTCTTTCCTGTTGCTCTTATTCCCCTCCTGTCCATTCCAACCGTGTCACACTCCTGTCTAACCCTCCTTAGAGATTCCCCACCACACCGGCAATGCATCCTGACCCTTGAGGGTCTCCATTGGAAACCGTGTGCCAGTCAGAAAGTGCCCCCCTTTCTTCAGTCAGATATGACCAGGTTCTGGGTAGCTCAGCGAGTGGAATGTGTCACAGGAATTTAACTTCCAAGCTGCCATTGTGCAATGCTTGACGGGCACCACCACCCATGGGAGTGTTCACCAGGAGGTCTCTCTCTGCCTCTCTCTAGTCCGTGTGGTCTCTCCCACACTGGAGCCATCTTTTGACTAGCACGCAGGTCTGTGTGCACAGCCTGGGCAATCCCATTGCACATTTGGTTCAGGTCTGTCTTCGTGTTAGCGTGTCAGCTCTGGGGGAGCAGAGGCCTTCTTTGCTGTCCACTCTTGTGTCCCCAGCACCCTGTGTAGTGTTCTCCCTGAGTGACTGCCCAGTCAACATTGTTGAATATAAATGAATGGACGAGGGACAAGCCCGTCCCTTACCCTCAGAGTTGTGGTGCTGCTGGTGGGACATCATGCCATGCCCTACCTGGTCTCATTCTTCACCCCTTGCCCTCTTCCCTTCCCAGGCTGAAGACAGTTCTCAAGTGCCACATCCCAGATCCCTCCGAGTTCTTCTCCCAGCTGAGCTCCCAACATGGGGGAGACCTTCAGGTAGGACCAGGGATAGAAAACAGGGGTGGTTGGCGGACAGCCCAAGAGCAGGCTGCAGGGTAGAGGTGTGATTAGGTGACAATGGCCTTGCCTTCTGTGAGAGGATCCAGGATGCTGAAGAGAGCAGCTTCCACCACGGACACAGCTCTGTCTCTGCTCTGCATGGAAGCCTTTTATCTAAGACATGCAGTCTTGGTGCTAATCCTGCCTCTGTAAACTTGGATAAGTTATAGATCCTCTCAGTGCCTCAGTTTCCACATTTGTACGGCCCTGGGAATGTTGCTGGGCACAGTACAGGAGGGAGCTAGGAAACTGCAGGAATTCCTGTCTGTTTCTCCGGCCCCTGTGAGCAGAGCCATTCTAGGCAGATCCAGTAAGCAGAGTGATTCCTGATAGGTCCAGTGATTCATCACCTGAACGCAAGTCCTCAGGGCACCTGGAATCACAAAACCTGGGCTTGTTTTCAAAGTGTGGCCCATATAGTCCTAAGCTCTCTCCCTCCTAGTCTACCTGCTTCAGGGTAGAAGCCTCCAGAGGCAAGAAGTAGATAGAAGGTGGAGGGAGTCTGCTGTTAACTACCTCCATCCAGACTGGGTTTCCATGATTGGCTGTGGTGGGGCAGAGGGGCCTGTGGCTCTGTGCTGAGGCCAGGAGGTTCAGGTTGGGCTCTACTCCTGCTGGACTGGGCTGTGCCCATCGGGGCTGAGCAGGACCCTTCTAGAATATCTGAGAGACTCCCAGAACTGAGGATGTCTTATTATGATACTTGATCTGTGTGTGTTGCATGTACACATTCCTGCACGCTTGAGTGTGTGTGTAGTAGGGGAAAAGTTCCATAAAAACTGCTTTTCCAAACTGTGTCACGGTAGTATAGGCCTTTAATCCCAGCACTCAGGAGCAAGAGGCAAGTGGATCTTTGTGAGTTTGAGGCCAGCCTGATCTACAGAGCTAGTTCCAGGATAGCCAAGGCTATACAGAAACACAGTCTCAGAAAACAAACAACAACAATAAAAAAAGCCCAAACCAAACCAAAAGAAGCAAACAATTAAAAAAAAAAAAACACTTCTGTTTTTCCTGAAATCCCTCCTGCCCTTGACTAAAGTCCTGGCCAGCAGGCAATGGAAATCAACCTTAGCTCACAGTGGGTCAGCAAGGATCCACGTCTTAGCCTCTTTGTGTTGCAGCCAGGGCTGATGTTGCTGGCTCCTGGTCATGGAGCTCACTCACACACATGTAGGTGAGCCTGAGGGGTGCAGGCCATGACAGGGAGAGGTGAGCTGGGAAGCCATCAGTTTTCCATCACTGTGTCCTGCGACCTCGCTGCACCAGCTGCCTGTGACTTGAGCAGGCTGGGCCATTAGGGTCATTCACTGGACAGCTCGTTGACGTCATTCAAGACGGTGGGGATTGTCTTTCTGCGTTACCATACCTAGTTCAGTCCGGATAGACAGCAGGTGCTCAGGTATACAGCAGGTGCTCAGTAACCAGCCACACTCGCCCCTAGCCAGCATCCCCCAGACATTTGTGACCCAGCACTGAGGCTGTATTCATGTTCATCTAGCATGTGGCCTAGGCGGACAAGTTCAGAGAATCCATCAGGACAGCAAGGCTATGGGATGATTCCAGGTTGGAGGTGTGGGGGGAGGCTGTCCTGGGTGTTCTTGAAGGATGACGAACAGGAGGAAGGGAAGGGAGAGGAGGAGTTGAGTTCAGTGGTGGGGAGGACAAAGAACAGCCCACTTACTCTCCTCACTTTCTCTGGCAGAAATGGCTGTCCTCGCCTGTCCCCTCATCCTTCTTCAGCCCCACTGTCCCTGCACCTGAGATCTCTCCGCTGGAAGTGCTTGGCAGAGACACCAAGGCCATGCAGCTGCTCCTGTTACAGAAGGACACGGCCCCTTCACCCTCGCCCAGTGGCCACTCACAGGCCAGCTGCTTCACCAACCAAGGCTACTTCTTCTTCCATCTGCCCAATGCCTTGGAGATCGAATCCTGCCAGGTGTACTTCACCTATGACCCCTGCATAGAGGAGGATGTGGAGGAAGATGAGCCAAGGCTGCCCGAGGGATCTCCCCTCCCACCTCTGCTGCCTCTGGCTGGAGAACAGGATGACTACTGTGCCTTCCCACCCAGGGATGACCTACTGCTCTTCTCCCCGAGCCTGAGCACCCCCAACAATGCCTATGGGGGCAGCATAGCCCCTGAAGAGAGGCCTCCCCACTCCCTGCAGGAGGGACTTCCCTCCCTAGCATCCCCTGACCTGATGGGCTTACAGCGCCCTCTGGAGCTGGTGCTGGAAGGTGATGGAGAGGGGCTGTCTACCAATACCTCTGAGGAGCAGGCCAGTGTCCCAGAAGGCACCCCTCATGGGCAAGATCAGGACAGAGGCCAGGGCCCCATCTTGACTCTAAACACTGATGCCTATCTGTCTCTTCAAGAGCTACAGGCCCAAGATTCAGTCCACCTAATATAGACAGGAGGCCAGGATTGGGATCCAGCTGCCTGGGTCAGGTCAGGCTTGAGGGAGACTGCTTAAGGAACTGTCTCTTGAGGACAGTCTGCTGTTGAGGACTATCCCTGGTTATCCCTACCCCAAAACTTAGTCATCCACTTCTGAGCTCCACTTGATGCTTCCTGGTCTAGCCAGGGTCTTGGGTGGGGAGCGGTGGTCAGCTCTGCTGCCCTATTTAGTCACGAGGTCACTAAACTTCCTATACCTGCCTCTCTCCTTCCTGCTTACCTTCACAGGGCAGCCAGAACTTGCTTCCCCAATACAAAAGCAACCTTGCTCCTCTTCTATTCCTGAGCTTGCTGTGGCTCCCTACTGCCCTCTGCCCCGTTTCCTGGTTTCCTGTCCCGATTCTTGCCGCACCAGCACTGCTGGGGAACAGCTGTCCTCAGGTTGGGATGTGGTTATACGCTGTCTTAATCAGAGAAGCTTTGACAACCCAAACGAAGAGATCCCAATAAGACTGGATGCAGCCTGTCGACTGTTGAGGGTCCTTCAAAGAAGGAGGGGATGGGAAGGGTCATCAATCCATCACCTGAGATCTTAGCCACTCCCCTCCACCCCATCCTCAGCTATGTGTGATTCTGCTCCTGGAGCGTGTGTTATTGTATGTGTTCTTGGGAGATGCTGGCATATATAGAAGGGGGGAGGGCTGATGGAAGTCCATATATGTTGCTTTGGGGGCCTTGTTGTCTATTCTGGGGTGGGGTTTTCTGTGAAGCAGCTTCTTTGGGGTTACCTAGTCCCCTGTCAGTAAGCCTAACAGACTCAAAGGCTCACCAAGCTGGACTTGAGTGTACTTGTGCCTTTGATGCTGTACCTGGGAGAAGTACTTATTTGTTAATGTATCCTCGAAGTCAAGAAAAGCTTACATGACAAGCATGGTTTCAGCACTGTCCTTTGTGGAGACCTCAGATCCCCTGGGGTCTCCTGGAGTCGTGATGTGTCAGTCCCCTTCCCTCAGCCCACCCCACTCCTGTCTCCACCCCAGCACCCTCCTTTGCAGGCACTGTTAAATGTGCTTTACCTAGGTGTCAAACGTCTCTCGTCTTCACCTGTATGTCCTGCCTATCTGGAGGGAGATGCTTTTTTCTTAAGGCACTCGGAGAAGATGAAGGCGATAGCACTTGACTCACCTTCCTTCTTCTGGGCTATCTCCTGACCACTCAGTTTGGACACGAATACCTACCCAGCAGTGGCTGTTGGATCGTTCCATGCCTGCCTCACCAACTCATGAAGGAGCCCACTGGAACCTGAGCCCCGAGTCCCAGCAGCCCAGACAGGCATGGCATGCTAAGTATACCACCTCACCCTCAGAAGAGAGCACTGCTCTCTACAGACATTCCTCTAGCACAGAGCCTCACTGCTGGTGACTGTTCCAGGGTGATCAGATCCCATCTCCTCTGGGAAGCAGAGACCCAGACCTAACTAATGGATGCCCTACCCACAGTGCCTGCCTTCGTGGTTCCTGCTCACTGTTTACTGACTGTCTGGCTAGACCACAGGATCACAGGCTGACAAGCAGCTTATGAGGTGCCTTGGTGCAGGTCTGTCACAGAGGCTAGGCTGATCTAGCCAAGTAGGGTATCTCTCAACCAGATGTCCTGGGAACAGGTGCTTGGGACAAAGCGCCTTGTTAGTGAGAAGAAATGAGCCAGCGCAGAGGGGTTCAGATCCTGTGTAAGGGTTCTCCTGTCTGTCCCCTCCTGACACAGTATGCTGTCTGTCACCAGCCTCTTCTAGCTCAGCACTTGGTCAGACTTGAGCTCTGCATCCTTGTTCTTCACTGTGCACACTGGGAAAATGGACAAACCTTCAGGATTCTCTTACTTCGGCTCCCAAACAGAAATACAACTTATTTCCACTGCTGAAGAGGTCTGGGAAGGATTCTGTTCTCTCTCCTTTAATGATCCGTGCACAACATTCTTGTAATTATTTCCTGGAAAGTCTTAAAACACATTCACCTTTTTTGTTTGTTTGTTTATTTGTTTAAATACACTTAATTAAGGATTTTTCTTCATATCGCTTCTGTGGCTTTCCAATCTTCCTATAAATAAAAGGTGATTGTAAAAAGCAGGTACCATAAAACTATGTAATGTGTGAGTCCAATCTGGGGGTGGAGCCTAGTAGCCAAGTGCTGCCTGGTTCATTCCATCCCGGCTCTACAAGAAAGAGAGTTAAGCAGGATAGTCTCTATGTCATTGCTGTTGGAACCCTGTCATCTCAGGCTAGAAGGATGATGCTGCTAGAGACAGAGGGACACTTCCTCTGTGATGAAAGCAGAGCTGTTGAGAACATTTTGGTCATTTATAGGAATCAGGTTTCTGTCCACAGATATGCTCTAACGTCTCTCAAACCCACATCCAGGCTTGGGCAAGCATCCCAACCGATTGTGGGTCTATCATTCATCTATCTGTCTCTCTGTTTCTCTCTGTCTCTCTCTCTATGCCTCTCTCTCTCTCTCTCTCTCTCTCTCTCTCATCATGACCACCTATCAACTAGCAGGAGTTTTGCAGAGTATTGAGAAACAATAGTCAACAATCTCTTGCATTCATTAAGTTGCACACATTGCTAATTGATTATATTATGCTTGGTAGACTCTGCTTATCAATTGCACCTATGCATGGCAGACATGGCTAATCAATTGCACCTATACATAACAGACATTGCTAATCAATTGCACCTACACATGGCAGACATTAATACTCAGTCACAGCCTTCCTTCCACCAGGGGCTGGATGCAGCATTAGATTCTGTGGTAGTGTGTCTGCGGCAGCCCCAGATGATGAGAACTGGCACCTAGCGACATCTCTGGGTCATGCTGCCTCTCAGTTTCCTTCTACAAAAGGAGCTCTTCATTTTTCTCTAAGCAGGGAGAGCAGATGCTGAGATGGTGTTGCCTGGAAAGCTGAGAGAACAATGAACAAGGTCCCCAAAGCTCAGGGACTCAGGAACCCAGCTGTCTCCGTGTCTGGTGAGAGACCTGAGCTGGTGTTGTCTGGAGAAAGGGGCCACCATATGCCAGGTGGAGATGGCCAGAGCCACAGCATGTCCAACGGACATCGTGGGGGCAGAGCCAGGAGAGAGCAGCTGGCAGGGCAGTGCAAGAAAGGGAGTGCCTAGCCCCTGGGGTCAGATTTCAGGGGAAAGGCAGCTGGAGAGCAGGCACAGCCTGGGCTCTGGAGATTCTCAAGTGGAGAGTAGGGAGCGGGAAGCAGTCAGGAACGTCTTGGGGTGCAAGGAAAGGACAGGGATGGGGGAGGGAAGAAGGGTTCAGGCCTTTTCTATATTCTTTTGGCTAAGGCTGACCTTTGCCTCTCTTCCCTGAGTCTGGAGCTCAGGTCTTCCTTCCTCCTTCTCAGCAGCTTCCAGGGCGTTCAGGCAAATTATGGTGGAACAGTTTGTTCAAGTCTGAGACAAAAATCTAGCCATGCCTTACTCACTGTGATGGCCCGGCCAACAGAGGAAACTCCAGGGAAGCCAAAGTACAACCAAACAGCAAAGCACATGAAAGCAAAGATGGTGGCTCATTTCTGAACCCCAGCAGCAGAGAGCTAAGACGGGTGTGTGTGTGTGTGTGTGTGTGTGTGTGTGTGTGTGACGGTGTGTGTGTGTGTCTCAGATTTGAAGGTGGCCTGGTCTGTGTACTGAGCTCCAGGCCAGTCTGAACTATTTGATAAGCTCATGTTCCAAAAACAAACAAACAAACAAACAAACAGACAGACAGACAGACAGACAGACAGACAAACAACCTGCCAACCCCATCCTGCCAAAAAAAAAAAAAAAAAAAAAACCTCACAAAAAACACCAGACAACTCTGCCTCTACCAAAAACTATGTCGCCTCTGTCTGTGAGAGGCAGGCGCTTTCATCCCACTTTTCAGATGAGGAAACTGAGGCTGAGAATAGTTGAGAGGTGTAGCTGCTAGTGGAGAGAGATTGTGTGCTCTGAGCTCCTCAGTCCCTGGGCCTTTCTGAGTGTAAACTTGCTGGAGACTATGACAACTTCTCCCTCTTCCTTTTCAACTTCCTCCTCCTCTTCCTCCTCCTCCCCATCCTCTTCATCCTCCTTCTTCTTCCTCTCCTCCTCCTCTTCTTCTTCTTCCTCCTCCTCCCTCTCCTCTTCATTCTCCTTCCTCTTCCCCTCCTCCTCCTCCTCCTCCATCCTCTTCTTCCCTCCTCCTCCTCCTCCTCCTCCATCCTCTTCCTTCTTCCTCCTCCTTCCTCCTTCTTCCCCCTTCTCCTCCTTCCCCTACTCCTTCCCCTCCCCTCCTCTTTTCCTCCTCTTCTTCTTCTTCCATTAATTTAGTTATTCATCCATTTTATATCTGGGGTGCACAGGTGTACCACTTGGAGACACTTCTACCAAAGACAGAAAACCAGAAAGCTCTATCTCAGCCTCTGGGTAGCCAGCCTCGAAGAAAGAAAAAGATGGAATGCCCACCATGCTGCAGGATGAAGGGAAACCCTTCTCATTGCTCCACTGGCCTGGGCATCAGGGCATGGCTGCCGGTCAGGTGAGGCAGCCTTGGACCCCACCCTCCTCTTCATGACTGGAGCCTCCCTCTGTCCACAGCCTCCTACCAGATACCCAGCATCCCACAGGCCAGGCAGCAGCAGCAGCAGCAGCACCTTCTTCCCTGTTCAGCCTCCTCCCTCACCCACCTGTCTCCATAACCCATCTATCTACCAGGCATATCCATTTTGACATTGCAACATGATACCATCTACAAAACCCACACTTAAGAACCATGTAATTGAGTTGAGAAAGAAAGAGATCACATAATATGGTTTTCTTTAAAACAGTTCTGTGTTGGGCAACAGCTGACCTGCATGTAGCCATGGGTTTCGAGTTGGGAACAAAACCTCCCACCCAGTCTCACTAGATTAGTGAGACTCATTAGGACAGCTTCACTGAGAGCCACATGTGGCCACCCCACATCCTGGTTTGACTCCAGAGACATCCTGTTGTCATCAGGAGAAGACTGGGTTCTTCAATGTCACTGTCCCTGACTTGGGGACCCTGGGGAGCTCTCATCAGCTCCATGCCCCTGTACCCATCAGTGCACTAGATACTCAAACTAGGCTTCCAAGTGGTCCCTCAGTGTTCACAATCTGCAGCTCTTGGTACCACTAGGAAGGTGACAATGCTGAGGCCACGTGTGTCACCTGCTGATCCCTGAGGCTGAAATGACCCTCAACTCAATAAATTCACCCACAGACTCCTACAGATCCCTCAGAACCCCATTTAAGAACTCCCACATCTGAGTTTCCCCTCTTGAATGAAGGCGGTTCCTCTGAAGAATCTCTGTTTGAAGTATTGCACGATGTATACGTGCCCTTTGGCTTGTTGGCTTGCTTCTTTCATCCCATTTTACAGATGAAACTTGAACTCACAGTGGTTTGATGGCTCACTCCAGATCACACTGGAGAGAAAGCCTGTGACCCTGCCACTGGCCCAGACTGTCAATGGTCTTTAAAGCCTGTGCCAACAAGTATCTCAGACCATGTGCCAAGAACCTACTGAGACAGAGTGGCAGCTTCTGAGACCTAAGAGGCTGCTGCTACATCCCCTGCCATGGGGAGTTTGGTGTAGAGACACGGAGCTGTGCTGAATCTTGAGCTCCCTAGAAGCTCAGAGCCTGACCCTTGTGTCAGCCCTGGGACAGCCCCTCTGCTGACATTTTCCGATACCAGGGATGTGACACACCCACTGGGGGCCTTGAGAAAGCAAAGCAGGAAGCCGCTTGAGACCTGGGGTGCAGGATGCCAGGAGGTACCCTTGATTCCAGGAAACCAGGGCACTGAGGGGAGGGAGCAGCTGGTGGAGAGACCAGCCTCTCCGCCCCTCTGTGCACCTGGCCTCGCGTTGGCATGCACACAGGCACACAGCTGTAGGTACACCATAGGTGCTGGCCCTGGGGCTGGAACTGTCCACAGAGGCCTCAGCCTCGTGGTGAAAGAGCAACTGTGGAAGGTGCAGACAAGTAGCCATCACTCACCAGCCTGACCCCATACCTGGCTCAAGACCTCGTTAGGAAGCACGAGCAGATTGCTCAGCTGGGAGAGAAGATGCTGCCAGGTCTGTCCCATTGAGACTCTTGGAGCCTTAGTTTTCTTGTCTATGATGTGAAATGAGGGAAGCAAAAGAAAAATTCTAGCTTCTATGTTTCTGGTGGACCAGAAGGCTGGTCTACAGCCTCAGAAGGAGGTGGAGGTCCCCCCATCATCAGAACATTCCCCCCTTTCTTACCTCCCCTCCTCTGTTCTCAACATCCAATGCCCAGGGGACTTAGAGACAATGCTGTGTTTGGGAGCCCACTTGAGGCCAGCCTGACATTCACTGATTTATCAGTAACTCCTGCTGTAAGCACTTGACCTCCATACTAGATGATGAGATTCAGAGGAGCCGGGACGCCATGAGATGCTCTTGGTGGTGGTCAGCTCCGGCCACTGGGTAGGTGTCCCTGTTTGATGGATCCTGACACCTGCTCCAGCATGGGCCAGAGTGAGCCTCCAGGAGCGGAGCACACTGTGATAATGTTTGTGCAGCTGGGAATTCCACACCTGGATGCCGATGGAGACTGGGGAGAAGAGACAACATCACTAGGGCTCAGAAGGATGGCAGTGATGAGCAGTGGCCACATAGAAGGCCCTGGCTCCGTTCCCAGGTCCTCCCACCCCCCGCCAGGTTTCTGGTTATTGGGTCTACTCTATGTGAGAAACAGTTGCGGGAACAGAAAAGAGGGCATATGGCTAATAGAAGGGGAAGCCTCCTTGGAGACTGTGAGTGTGGAAGACACTGGCCGGGCCACCTTGGGAAAGGAGCCAAGCCTGGAGCGGAACAGTCTCTATGGAGATCTGGCTGCAGATTGCAAAGATCAACAAAAAGAAAATGCTGGTCACTGAACCCTGATCCCTTGGACATTTGGAGCCATCTGCCTGAGGCCCGTGTGCCAAGCTCTGCCAGCAGCCACCAGAGGCAGGAGGAAGCAGGAGCAGGCACCCCCGCCCCCATCCTGGGCCTGCTGTGGCTGGATTGGAGACTTCTGGTCTTTAGAACTGAGATGGGGCATTCTAAACCATTCTTCGGCAGCCCTCTGTCTCAGCTCCATTGCCCCAGACACATATCTAGATAGTGTCTGACAAGGGCCCTGGATCCCTCTCCTACCTTCATCTCAGAGGTTCGAGAGAGGCTTGCGTAACTGGGAGTCTTCTCTCTGCCCACTTCGGGGTGTGGGGGTGTCTACCAGCCCAATGTATGGAGATGTCAGCTAACAGAGTGTGCGTGTGTAGAACACATGGATAAGACCCTATTAGGAAACTTAAGTACGTGTAAATGAAACGTTACCTGTCAGCTGGCGGTGTTCCATTTTCTACCCAGATAGGAATTATGGGTAGGGGAGGAGAAGTTTGTTTGGTGCTGGCCATTCTGGGCCCTGGAATGCTCACTAGACTAGTGAACCTAAACGCTCACAGTTCCCAGCTCTGAGTGCGAGGAACCTACAGCTCTAACCTTTGGAAACTAGACACCTGGACTTGAGGGTTATTGCTCTGGGTTTTAGTCTCTCTCTGGCTCTTAGCAGCTATTGTGATAACCCTTTGCCTTCAGCAACATAGCAAGAAAAAGCACCAGGTGACACTGCCTTCTGTTAAAGCTCTTATACACACACCAGATGCTGGGACCCTCACCATGTAGTGATGACTGTTATAGGCCCAGAGTGTGAGGCCCCTCAGTCATGACAATTGGACTACAGTGAGTAAGACCTGGGCAGCTCCCTTGAATGCGCCCAGTCATCAGGCCTTGCAGTTTCTCGTCTTCATGTCTTTACATCCTTCATGGGCTCTGTTACTCTTAACTGGCCACCAGTTCTGCTCCAGCCACTCTCCAGAGCTCTTCAGCTGACCCCCGGTTGCTCTTGCCATGGTCATTCCTTGTTCCTGCAGTCACCCAGTGGCTGCCTTTGTAGCTGCTGCTGTCCCATGATCCTCTCCTGGTGTCTCCAGCCAATTCTATTAACAGTAAGGATCAAAAAATAGGCAAAAAGAGACCACTCAAGAAAATCTTGTTGGACTTAATGTTACAAACCTGGGGGCCTCGCAGAAAAGTGTCTCCAGGCTGGCTGGGGAAGTGGGGTGAATAGCCTACTTATATAGATGAGAAGTAGGCGTGGTAGTGATATTTACAACAATTGTGGCAAACTTTTATGCAAACAAAGGACTGTCTTGGGACTGATCACAGGCCTTCTGCTGCACGGGTTTGGGGAGGTGCTATCCCTCTGGCCTGGGTGGAAATGGCTGCAGGGTCACCTAGAGTTCACCAAGTCCCGCGCAAACTGGCTGAAACAAACGCTGCTGAAACAATGCCTTCCAGTGCCTCCCAGAGCTGGCCTTACTCTTTGTTAGCAAGCAGCTGTCATTGCCAGGTAGCTTCTTCAAGGTGTCCAGGGAGTGTTTAAATTGCTGATATGAGGACAGTCCAGCTGGCTGTTTAACTGGGAATCCTTTGCTCAAGATGGTCAGGACATCATAGAAGCATCCGATATCTGTCACTTTGGGAATTAAATTACCCTGTGTCCCAAACCTTAGCTTACTAAAAGGAAAAATAAGCATTGAAAACGGTGCTTGCCATAGAATCTTATCAGCAGTGACTTAACAGGAATTCGGTGTTCTCCCTCCTCCATCGAACCCCAAGGAAAAGTGGGGCCCACTGATGGGTCTCAACAAGACCAACTCTCCTACTTCCTGCACGGCCCCTGAGGGGTTGTCCCAGGTTACATCATCCCATTGCAGAAAGGTCCCTGATTGAAAAAAAATGGACAGTAATTGCAACCTGTTACATATGTGTCCTGCCATATGTGGCCCCTGGGGACACTGTGTTGTACATAGGCCTGGAAGGGGCACCCTGCTGCATGTTTGCACTGGGAAGGGGCTGAAGACCCATCTGGTCAAATACACAGCGTGTGCCCAGCTCTGGTTTGTTAGGCCTGGGTGAGTTTACTGAGGTGTTGAGACAAAGCACAGGTTCTTGGCATTGGAAAAGTGTGCCTCGCCAATGATTCAGGCTGCAGGTTCAAGATCAAGGTATCCATGGGCTGCTGCCTCCTGGAGCTGGAGGAGAATCTAGTCGAGGCCTCACCCTGGAATTCAGTGGTTGCTGACCTGTGTACTGTCCTTGCCTCTGGATAGCTGATCTTGGCTCTGCCTTCACCTGCATTTTGTGTGCATGTGTGTGTGTGTGTGTGTGTGTGTGTGTGTGTGATCTGTCTCCAAGCCCCCCTTTTTATAAAGACTTCAGTCATATATCATTAGAGTCCATCTCACAACTTTCTGCCCTCAACAACTCAGCTCCGTCAAGCCTGAGATGGCAGTCTGGGGAGACACATCTTGACAGCAGGAAGACTTGGATTTTAACCAGCCTGACTCTCTGATTGCTAGACTGACTTTTGTCATCTGATTATGTTGAGCTTCAGGACCTGTATCTGTCATTCTGTGTACCCTTGCCTATAGCAGCCAGGCCTGTGAGTGTAGGGGCCCAGGAGCCTGACGACCAGTAGCGCTGAGCCATACAGAATCCCAGGAGCACTGAGACCTTTGTGGCATCTGTGTGGAAGTATGTCACTATTGTCTGCTATGGGAACAAGCAGAGAGAAGCAGAGGATGAAGGAGGGCCAGACACCTCAGTCATGGCTCCAGCCTCTGAGATCTTGGGGAATCTTAGATCCTTGCCTTCCTGGGGTCAGCCCCTCCCCCAGGCGGAGTGGATCAATGGCTGTGGTCACCAGGTGCAGAGGCCACCAATTGTGCAAGATCTTTCTGAGATTTCTCAGCTACCATCCTGCCTGGGACAGGGTTCAGGCCACTTGGCAGTCCAGAGGACAGGACAGGGCACAGAAGAGGGGCTCAGGGTATCTTGTGTCCTAGTGCTATGTGGACCTTGTTCCCATCTTAGAGAGCTCCTGTCCTCTGGAAGGTTTGCAGTGTGGAAACTGGAGACTGGGAGAGAGTCAGGAGAATGTACTGGACTGGGAATGAGTGTTGAGGAAAGAATGGACCCTCACAGGGCAAGGGTCAAGGGTCAAGGGTCAAGCCCACACTTTTGGGCAAGAACCCAGACAGAGCTGTCAGGGGACAGTAAGGAGAACTACCTTCACTCTGAGTCATACCCAGCTACACCTTTCCATCTGTACAACACTGGGCTCTCACACACATTTTTCTTGTTGGCCCAGATGGGGCTCATAGCTGCAATGAATCATCTAGGGACCACGACTCAGGGCCAGGGACCTGCCCTGCTTCCTCTAGCACAGCATGGCCGATGTCCACTGAACATGCAGCTGGCGTTTCAGAGCAGGAGTGTGTTCACACTCTCTCCACACTCACTTGACGCTCCATAGCTTCCTACACCATGCCTCCCGCCCCGTGTACATCTCTTACTCCACCTGTTCCCCACAGCTTCGTACACACTCTCCGCCTCACAACTCACGTCTGTCTCACTGTGAGCAGGCACACACCCACGTACGCTCACACACAGAACTCCATGCCTCACGGCCTGCACACTCACCCTACAGGCATGTCCTTCATACATCTGGTTTTCACCCCTCCACCCCGTGTACGTTCCTAACTATACATATGTCATCTGTCCACACATACACTCTACACTGCACACATATTTCCTACATGCCTGGTACACACACTGCACACACACACACGCACACGCACATGGGGAAACACATGTTCACAGCACACTGAGCCTCAGATACACACACAGTTCTCTACAGGCTCACGTCATGCGATCTGGCCGGTAGCTCTTCTTCCCGTTATCCCCTGACAGCTCTGTCTGGGTTTTTGCCCAAACGTGTGGGCCTGATCCTTGACCCTTGACCCTATGAGGGTCTATTCTTTCCTAGATAGTACTTCGCCACATTCTCCTTACTCGCTCCCCAGTCTCCGGCTGCCACAGGGCAATCACAGGTCTGCGTGAGACCCAGCCCCTCTGCAGCAGCACTGTCCCATAGAATTCTAATATGAGCCTAGTTTCCTAGATGGAACATCAAGACGCAGAAAAGTAGGTGGGATTCATCTTTGCACAGCTCCTCTAGCCCAAGAGAGCAGCCAAGCTCACACTTCAGTCTGCAACCAGTATCTAAATGAGCAAGGAGATGACTGACTTTTTTTTTTTTTTTTTTGCTTGCTCAGGATCTAGAATGTGTCTTACCTATGAGCCCATCTTGGCTCATTCTGACTCTGTTTTATGTCCAAGCAACACATGTGGCCAGTGGACAACAGGGTTTTTTAGAATACACATAATTCCTAGATTAATGGAAGAGGGTACCAAGTGCTCCCCTCCCCTAACCCACGTCTCTCCTGTCTCCAGAAGGCCCCGGCCCAGGCCTTTCTGGCCAGCGTCAGCTGTGTGAGCCCCTGTTCTCACCTGAATCCGCCTCTGCAGTTTCCTACTCAAGCTCTTAGGGGACCAGGGCCTGTAACCAGGCAGGAATCTCACCAAGCAACAGGCCCCGGGGGAGAGCTCAGATCTCTGGCTCCTGCAGGTCCAGCCCCTTGGGCACCTGTGGGGCTGGGCGGGGTTAGAGAGGCGGGCATTATTTGCCTCCTGCCTCCTGCCTCCTGCCTGTTTACCTGTGTTCAGTTACATTGTTGCCCTGGACCTGACAGGAGGCCCATGGAACTTGGGGCCACAGGCCACAAGGGACAAGGGCCAGGCACCCCAGTCATGGCTCCAGGCCATTGATCCAACCTAAGCTGGCCAGTTGGGGGTGGAGAGACCTTGGCCTGGGTAAACAGAGGCTTCCAGGCCTGTGTGCACCTACCTTCTCCACTTAAAGGTAAGCAGGGGCCTCTGGGACAGGGGACAAGGACCCATGAATGGCCTGGTGACTGCGTCTCCTCCAAGAGTCAGACCTGGCTGACTGGAGCTTGGAGAGGCTTGCAGGGCCTCCTGGGCCAGAATGACGAGGCACACAGGCCACAGGGCGCACTGAGCTGCCGTTGGGGAAGGGTGGGTGGAGCGAGCCTACCTCTGCCTAAGGTGCAGGGTGGTGGAGGGCTTCCAGGGATCCGGTGGCCTATGATTCAGGTGTGCAGAGACAGGAGAGGCCCAGTTTATGGGCCTGGTTGCCTAATTTCTTATTTTACATACAGCTTCAGATCCTGGGCTTTCTGGAGTGCAAGACTGAGCCAAAGCCCCACTCTGCATCCATGTGTGAGCTACACACAGGACTCTTGGCTTGTAGGCTAGAGCTGGTGTGTATATGTTTGTGTGCATGTGTGTGTGCATGTGCATGTATGATTTTGTGTGTGTGTGTGCTTGTGCACACACATGTGTCTCCATTGCTACACATCTGGGAGTGGGTGTCCATGGGTTTACGTGTGTGGCAGGAGCTCCCAACAGTCCCTTCCCTGTGGCTCACACTCAGGGCCCTAGCTTCAGTGGCTCACTGCAGGGCTTCCGCTAAGTGCCAACATGTACCTCCCATGTCCCCAGGTCAGAGTCCCGACTTGGGCCTTCTGCTAAGTCTCAGGGAGTTCACCTCCCAGTGCTTTTGATTCACCAACCACTGAAAGCACACAGTAAAGCAAACAGCCGAGGTTGCTGGAGAAGAAATGGGGCTTGTGTGTTGCCATCCAGTCCACAGCTGGAGCGGCACTCTCACACTGTGGTCAAATGCAGACCTACCCTATGCTTCCTAGTGGCCCTGTCCCTGTGAACTCAGCCTGCAGAGGGTGGACAAGGCTCTTCTTCACTGTCAAGAGGGTGGGGGAGGGTGCAGAGCAGGTGACCAGTCTGCAGAGATGCTTCACGAGGGAACAAGATTGTGCCCCTCAAGGGGCTCTACATCATGGGTCAGAGAGCACACCCACCTGGTCAGTTTCACTGATGGGGCTACCACCCTTTCAGGGGCACTCTGGGAGAGCTTCTCAGAGGAGGCTGCTGTCTCCTCTGAGTGTAGAATTCACATCAGAGCTTGTGGGGCAGGAGGGCACTCAGCAGAAGAGGAACACTGGGGAAGAGTACAGTTGCTTATGAGTGAATGAGGACTCACAGGTCTTACAGTGTAACCAATACCACACCCAGGGCTGGGGACTGGTATTTGGTCCATAAAGTTCACAATTACCCTTGTTGTTCAAGGTTATAGTCAAGAAAAACAAAACAACAAAATAAAACAAACAAAAACAATGTCAATAAGCAAGAAAGAAGTGGAGGGATGGGTCAGCCACTTGTGACGGTGGCGTCTTTGGGCTAGGCAGGAAAGAACAGGGATCTTAGATTCAGTCACTGAGCAGTAAGTGAAGACCCACACCATTCCAGGTTCTTCATGGAAGCAGAACACACAGTGGTGGAGAAAGCCTTGTGTCTGTGCAGCCATAGGGAAGACAGAAGATATGTCATAGGTATATCATGGGAGTAGGTCTCCGGGAACACCATAAAGAAAATGTCAGTAGGGAAGGGAGCAGGAAAGACCTGAAGCATATATCCGCCATGATGCAAACTGAAGGAGAAACGTTCTTGGCAGGAGAGGTGGCAAGTGCAAAGGCCCTGGGGTGGATGTTAGCAATCCAGCAAAGAGTGAATGTGTTTGTAGTCAAAGGAGGAAGAAGAGAGGAAGACATGTAGGGCCCTTTGGGATTGTGTTCTAGGTGGCTGGCTCTATGTGTGGCTCACAAACTGGACACATAGTGATGACATCACCCTGGTGGTTGTGTGGGAATTCACTGATGGGAGTGGTCATGACGGGCCACCGTAGTGACAGTGAGTCTGGGAAAGGCAGATAAGTGGGCTAGATGGCAGAGTGGGGACAGTGACTTGAATGAGCTAAGGAGATGTCAGGAAGGATGGGGACAGCTGGATGGAGGCCGCACTCCCACAGTCCAGCACTTAGAGATGAGGTGGGAGAACGTTTAAGTCCGAGGCTAGTCTGGGCTGCACAGGAGTCTGTGGGTTCTCAGTGTGGTGGGAAAGTAGAGCCACACACACATTTCTATGATGGATTGGGCTTCAGAAAAATGCGAGCCATTGTCTAATAGCAAAAGTCATGGTGTGACCATCCTCATGGTGCAGAAGATGGGGCCGGAGGCTCTGTATTCACCACCCCACCCCCATAACCAGCGTAGATTTTGACTCTAAATAAGAGCTCTAACAAAATAGGATGGCTGAGCCGGTCACCGAGCTGAGGGGTTTGGGGCAGACTCAGCATCCTTTCTGGATCTAAGCCACCGAGCCCTGCTTCCCACAGGCAACAAGATGAAGAAGAGGCTCTGTGCCTGGAGACATGGTCGCCCCGTTGCTCCACCCTAGCAGCCACTTAATTTGAGGGAAACACCCTGAGCTGGGCTCCCAGAGAAGCCTTGGAGGTCCACAAGGCCAAAGACAGCCTGGTTGTGCTTGCTGGTTGGCAGACTTCTTTGAGACAAGCCAGTCAGGAGTGGCCTGAAAAAGGGGGATCCCCCTGCCTCCGACTCAGACTCTTGAGGCCTAGGATCATAGATGTTCTCTATCGAGCATGCCTCATTGTTCTGGGTTTTTTGTTTTGTCTTTTTAAAGTTTGTTTATTTATTTATTTATTTATTTATTTGTGTGTGTGTGCGTGTGCGTGTGCGTGTGTGTGTGTGTGTGTGTGTGTGTCCTTCTGCGTCCAAAGTTTGCTTGGGTGTATCTAAGGTAAAATGACAGAAAGAATAAGAAGAGGTAACATCCCATTGTCATTTGACCGTGACTAGCTAATTATAGGAGATAGCCAGAGTAGAGGAAAAGTCAAAGAGACATTCAGCTGCTGCTGTGTGATCTTAACTAGGGGGCTTAGCCTCTCTGGGTCTCATTTTTTTTTTCATCTGTGTAAATGGCATTCAAATACCAGGATAATGAGGCAAATCTTGGCCTGAGCTGTTCTCAGGATTTCTCTGGGTTTCACCTTCTTCATCTGTCCAATGGGTGCAAAGTCCTGAGAGGTTTACATGAAGCACCTACACAGAGAGGGTTCCCACCTGTTCGTGGGCACTATTTCAGGATCCACTGAGAGCCAAACCATCGAGCCCTGCTGCCTGTCTTCTGGGATCTTCTCCTGAGGTCACTTCTACTCCCCGTGAGCTGCCCAGCAGCCACCCTCTGTCATCACTTCCCAGGACCCTGCCCTTCCATGCAAAGGCCAGGGATGCTGCCTTGATTCTCAGCATCACTGGGTCTCAGCAAAAGCTCCCTTGCAGATGCCAAGATGTTTCCAGCTCCCCTGTTCTACCAGGATGCCCACCACCGAGGTTCCCCAAGCAGCTGATGGTCAGGGCGATGCGGGTGATGGAGAGGAAGCTGCTGAGCCAGAGGGGATGTTCAAGGCCCCCAAAAACACCAAGAGAAAAGACCGGGACTACGTCCGCTTCACACCACTGTTGCTGGTCTTGGCTGCGCTGGCTTCAGCAGGAGTCATGCTTTGGTATTTCCTAGGTAATGGAAAATGAGGATCCAGCTGAAGTGACCCCCCCCCCCGGAAGGGTTCAGGGTGGATATAAGGAGGATTGTCTTGGCTGTGAGGGACACATAGGATGAACCAGGATTCTGTGTTTTTCCACTCCTTGTATTCTACCTGAATAACCATCCCTATATCCCTCAAGGTGGGCATACTGCTGGACCTCTGTTGTTGGGTCCCATGGTTTAGTGTGCTCCCTGTTCCTTCAGCCAGGGATGGAAGACCCTTTAGCACCTAATTCTTGGGTCTGAATAAGCCAGGGTGTGTGAGCATGCCATTCTTTTGCCTATAGCCCTCCTGGGCTCTCCCTTGGGCTCCAAGCCAACTTGCTCTGCTGTAGGAGGCCCATAGGTACCGATGGGACCTGGTACCAATTAGTGCCTCTGCTCATTTGAGGCCCATATGCTCCTCTGGAGAGAGGACCATAACTTTGTCACCTCTGAATCTCCAGGCCAAGTTGACATAAAAGTAACCATCACAGTCCCCATCCAGCAGCGGCTGGCTTAGGGTGGCTCATAGCTCTTCTCAGGGCAGCCCTTCACCACCAGGCAGGAAGCCAGTGCCCCAAATACTGCAGGCTGGAGCAGAGTCTCAGTAAGCTGCTGGGTAATTAATCTTCAGGGTTGAAGAGCTGGGTACTCAGGTGGCAATCATCTTTCTAACCCTTTGTCCTGTGTCCCAATGGGATTCTACCTGGGGCTAAAGGCCTAGGGCATAGGGTGAGTGCTCTATAACCTACCAGAAAATGCCAACCCCTAAAAGGACTCAGGGTGGAAGAGGCCCCCAGGGGGGAGATGTTAGATGACTCCTCCTACCCAGGGCAGCATGAGAGATAGCGAAGAGATAGATAGATAGATAGATAGATAGATAGATAGATAGATAGATAGATGGAAAGGTTGATAAATAGATAGATAGGGAAAGGTAGATAGGTAGGTAGGTAGATAGAGAAATATAGGTAGGTAAGTAGATAGAAAGGTAGGTAGATAGATGGATAGGTAAATGGGTAGACAGAAATAGAGCGATAGAGATAGATAGATAGATAGATAGATAGATAGACAGGCAGACAGACAGATAGATGAGCAATAGATAGATGGGAAGCATGCCCTGCCCATCTTAGAAGGATAATGGGGAGCCCAAAGTGGGGCTGATAGCTGGGCCAGGAGCAAGATGAATCTGTCTGGGAGGTGTGCCTGGCTTCATTGCTGCTCTGTGGGATCCGATAACTGAGCCCCTCTTTTTCCCAGTCACCCCACAGCTCCAGACTGGCCTGAGAAAAGGCCTCCCAGAAAAGAGACCTCAGGACACCAGACACCAGCCTTCCCACTACGAAGGGTCTGCCTCCCACCCTCTCAAGAGCCATCTAAAGCCAGATTCTGATCGCTCCCACCTTCCTCTCACAGTGGGACCCTTTCCACCCTCCGTGGATCCCTGAGGGCCCCTCTTAGCCTCTTCTCTCACTGCAGCATTCCTAAAGGGTGCTATGATGTGCAGAGACCTCTGTGAACACCTATTCTCACACACTGTGTGGGCCAGGCTCTGCTCTGCTCCCAGGCCCAGCTCTTTTAACCCCTGTCATGGCCACTGTTGAATCTTGGAGCCTGGTGTCCCTTGCTGTATGGGGCCAGGAGCACCCAGTCTTCCTTGTCACAATCAACCTCAGCTCTTGTTCCCCCCAAATTCTCTGCCAAGGAGGATGCTCCTTTTTGTCTCTGCCCACCTTTCTTTGGCATCCTTAGTGGTCAGCATTCTTTACCCACAGACACTCCCCATTTTGCTTGTCCAGCTCAGGTCTGCCCTCAGGCTGCCCTCCACCATTGTTGCTGCCCCACCCCCTGAATGTCCAAGGATCCCCTCAAACCCCACGAGATCTCTCCAGTCCCTACAATCTCCCATTCCCCATGTCCATGTGCCTGCAGGCATCCATGTTGGCCACGCAGCTGCTTCTCTACTTACTGACCCCCTTTCCAGTCTACCCAGCATGGTGGATTATAATGGGTGATGTTTAGAAAACAGCTTATTCCCGGGCAGCCGCCATGTTCCAACTGCTCCTCGGCTCTGACCAGGGCTCCAGCTAGCTAGATGTGCAGGCCTTGGCACCCATGAGATGCCAGCCTGAGGGATGGCTCTGCCAATCCCCCTACTGCATTCATAAAGTTCTGCTGAACCCCAGACAGTATCTGCCATCTTTGCAGTACCCAGTAGAAATGAGACTCTTAAATCTTAATGATTATCTAAAGGATTTATATATTTAGAAATGCTCAATTAACAAAATGCCCACACAATTAGAGTTGTTACCCAATATCTAACCTTTTGCTAGAAGTTGCTTTTTATCTATCTATCTATCTATCTATCTATCTATCTATCTATCTATCTATCTATCTATCTCTCTCCATGGTCTATAGCCTCCTTTTTTCCTCCCCTTCCTCTCTTTCTCCCTTCCCTTCCTCTTTTTCTCCCCATCCCCTTCCTTTCTTTTTCTCCCAGCTCCGCCTCCTCTTCTACTGTCTAATCACGGAGCTCCACTGCGAATACAATGTAGCAGAATAAGTATCCTGTAACATCTTTTTCTCTCTTCCCCTTCCTTTCTTCTCCCAGTTCCACCTCTTCTACTGCCTAGCAACTGAGCTCCACTGTGAATACAATGTAGCAGAATAAGTATCCTGCTACAGCAGATGCTCAGCCACTTTGGGGATCCCCGTGTAACTTGGTAGATGGGGATGAGAAGTAGGGAGACCCATGCTGCCTTGGAGGCACAAGATGCTTGGAGTGTTGGGGTGACAGGAAGTGAGAGAGGCAAGAGACGTTTGGACATGCTCCATCCATAACCCCTTCTTTCTGACCAGGGTACAAGGCAGAAGTGACCGTAAGCCAGGTGTACTCTGGCAGCCTCCGGGTGCTCAACCGCCATTTCTCCCAGGACTTGGCCCGACGGGAGTCCATTGCTTTCCGCAGTGAAACTGCCAAAGCCCAGAAGATGGTAGGGAGGGATGGGAGGACAGGAGGGGGAAATGTGAGAGGGCAAAGTCATGTGTTTGGGTGTCTGGTAGGTTTGTCACTTTGCTGGGACTGTTCACTGGGGGAGACCCTGTCCTGAGTACCATGGGAAAGGACTGTGCTGGAGAGGCAGGGTCATGCACAGGCTCCCACTGGCTAGAAAGAGACCTAGATTCTGCCTCTTGCAGTAGGGAACTTGCAGGTGACATTGTCAGGGCTCTGCCCCCTCATACAGCACAATGACCATTCCACTAGGGACAGGGTGCTGCTAGCCCCTTCCACTCTCAGCCAGGCACAGGACTATTTATCAGGGCACAAGTAGCAATTCTGGGGGCATACCCAGCCATGAGAGCCAGAGAGCTGAATATTATGTACCCCAGCATCAAGATGTCCTCAGAGAGGACACCCACAGGGCTCTTCATTCATGCCCATGTGTGTTCTATCATCTCTATTGCCCTCAGCTGTACCTTGCTCATTAACAACAGGCAAACTGAACTCCCAGACTGGACTGGCTATACCAGAGGTTGTGGGGTGAGGTGGGGTAGGGGACAAGGTGTCAGGGCCGTGCCTGGCTTAATCTTGTGCTTGTGAGGGTGGCAAGCACAGGTTTGATGACCAGAAGGGACTTGGGAAGCCTGCACCGATGCCACCACGGAGGTTAACTGGGACTCTGTGTTCCTTCTCACAGTTCCAAGAGCTGGTAGGCAGCACACGTTTGGGTACTTACTACAACTCCAGTTCCGTCTACTCCTTTGGGTGAGTTACTCCCAGTCCAAAGGGCCCTGTGAAAGCCACAGATCTAAAGGCAAGAAGGCTGGGCCCTATAGGCAACCGACACAAGGCCCTAACCATGCTGTATCTCAAAACTCCGTTATAAAGAAAAGAACATGGGGGAAATGGAGGCACAGAGAAGGAACTTAGCCTCCGACATGTGGTTCCCCTTTATTGAGCTTGGTCTTGTCATCTACAGATGGTGGTGTTGTTGTGACAGGGTTCACACCACACCATGACTGGGGATGCCTGATGTAAGTAGGTCCAGGTTCAGGGTGTACTTGAAAGCATGTGGCCCAGGATCCCCAGTCCAGGACTTGGCTTGCCTGGTCATATCTGGTTCTGCCAGTTACCAAATGGCCTATGACCTCCTGTGACTCTGTCTCTCCTATGGGTGAGAATGGGAAGAAAGCATAGCAGGTACCCTGCGGTTCTGAGTCTCAGTCAGCTCCCTTGAGTGGGGGGCTGGGCAGGGACAGGACTTCAGGCCCCTTTCATTTCTGTCTCCATAGGGAGGGACCCCTCGTCTGCTTCTTCTGGTTTATCCTTGACATCCCCGAGTACCAGCGGCTGACCCTGAGTCCTGAGGTGGTGCGAGAGCTCCTGGTGGGTGAGCTACTGTCCAACAGCTCAACCCTGGCTTCCTATAGGACCGAATATGAGGTGGACCCAGAAGGCTTGGTGATCCTGGGTCAGTACTGCGAGGGGAATCCTGGTGGGGTTAGAGCAAGGCCAAGGGAGGCTGCCCCCTTCCGGGGGGTGGGATGCTCAGGTGATCCTGGAGCCAGGACAGAGGGCGAGGGTGGGGGCGGGATCGGACCGCATAGAAGGCTTATCTCTGCCGAGCCTGGCTCAGCTCCTCTTCCCTGTTCTTATTTTCGGTGTTCTATTTATTTGGCTTTGCCCTTGTTTATTTGTTTGTTTTCATTTCCTTTTGACAGAAGCCAGTGTGAACGACATAGTCGTACTGAATTCCACGCTGGGTACGCTACTGTGTCCTTGCTTTGGCCTCTTTCCGAGGTCTTCTTGTCTGGTTCATCGTGGGGGCGGAGGTCCCGAGGCTTCCACTGTGGGGACAGGGAGCCCCAACCTAGAAACACTGTGGGGGAGATCTCACAGGGGGGACCTGGGTGAGGGCTGTGAGCCTGGGTGGGGGCTCAGGTAGACGTGTGCTTGCATGCCTGGGTCTTAGATGTGAGTGTGAGTCGCCCCCTGTGGGAAGCTGTGGAAATCTACCCCTGCTGCCTGTCACTCAAATCAACCTGCCGCCCACCCTCTTTCGTACTGAAGATAGAAACCATCTTGCCAATCTATGCTTTGTCCCTTGGCCACACAGGATTTAAACAGGTCTGTTGGAGGGTATGGCTCTGTCACATTCAAGAACTCTCTCTTTGCCCTTCCCTCCTCTCTCGGCCTGATTTCACTGTTAGAATGACTATGATTTTCTCCCAGAGGCCATACTGGCTTGCTGCTGAGGCCTGAGTAGCCAGGTGCCAGGCAGCCCACTCTGTTGTACAAGGTTAAGAGGTACTGTGCACGCTAGTCTATGGTCTAGTGACTCCTGGGGTTGTACACACACTGTGCTACCTAGGCTACTGTGCCCTATGACTCTGAATACACAGAGATTCCTGCTCTACCAGCTAGAGCTGCCACTTAGAGCAGAAGCGGGGGTGAGCACCTTGACCCCTCTCAGGGAGGAAGATGATTTCAAATCCTGTATGCCTGTTCTGATTGCCCTTCCACCTGCCCTTGCTGCATAGAAGTGCTGACCCCAAAGCTCACTTCAACAGTTAAAGCCAAGATTCTCAAATAGAGTTATTCTGAGCTGGGCCAGACAGACCTGCCTTGATGAGGGGTGATGTGGAAGTCAAGATCACAGACCCTGTTTCCATCATCTGTCTCTGTCTCTGTCTCTGTCTCTCTCTCTCCGTCCATGCATCCATGCATCCATGCATCCATCCATCCATCCATCCATCTATCCATCCATCCATCTATCCATCCATCCATCTATCCATCCATCCATCATCCATCCATCCATCCATCCATCCTCCATCCATCCTCCATCCATCCATCCATCATCCATCCATCCATCCATCCATCCATCCATCCATCTATCTATCTATGGGTAAATGCCTTGTGCGAATGTGTTTTCCTTCTTGTTCTAGAAGCCTCCCCCCATAATAGCAGCTCCAATTTTGCTTCTTAGTTTAAAAGCCTTTGACTTTTAAACAAACAAACAAACAAAACAAACAAACCAGGGTTTCTCTGTGTAGCCCCTGGCTGTCCTGGAATTCTCTTTGTAGACCAGGCTGGGCTTGAATTTACAGAGACATGCCTGCCTTTGCCTCCTGAGTGCTAAGATTAAAGGCATTCGCCATGACCGCCCAACCTTAAATTTTATTTTTAAGAAAATTATTCCCTATGTAGCTCAGGCTGGCCCCAAACTCTCAAACCTCCTGGTCTGGTCTTGAGTGTGGGGATTTCAGCTGTGAGCCACCACACTGGACTTTACTCTTAGAATAACAAGTCCGTTCATATTAATAAAATATTTTTATAAGAAGTGGCAGTTTTCCCTACAACCAATCTGCATTGAAGAAAGGTGTTGTGATATCTATCCGATGGTGTCAGGGATGGCCACCTTGTGGGTGTCTGTTTTTGGTCTGCTGTGACATCACAGGTCACAGAGCCCTGGGACACTCTGCTGTGCTCTCCAGGAAGCAAACGAAACAAGGGTCTTAGTGTTAATATGGAAAAAAGGGTCTAGCCTTGACCCCTCAGGACCCAGGATGCAACACTGAGAACTCTGTCTACGGTCAGGAAAGACTCTTGCTACCATCCTCTTTGCTTTATTCCATCTGTGGTGGTTTCCTGTTTCATCGCCAGAGATGGGTTTTGTAGCATCACACACCTGAGTGTGGTGACACGCCTGTCTATCCCAGAACTCGGGAGGCTGAGGTGGAACCATAGGACTTGAGAGAAGTCTGAGCTGCAGAGTGAGACCCTGTCAAAAACGAAAATAACACCTCAGATGAGCCACTGCCCTCTTCCCATCTGCTTTATGGGGCTCCTTTGAAAGGTCATGGTCAGCAAGGTGTCAGTGTCAGCTTGGTCACCCTCGGTGCTCCAGGATAGACTGTGCTGGGCCTCAGCGGCAACTGCTAGTCATGGCCAGCCTCCAGTGTCAGCTCTGCAGGAATCATCTGTACAGTGTCCATATGCAGGCTGTGGTCTCTGCCGTGTCTGGTCTGCAAACATTGTGTTTCTGGTGCAAACATTGTGTTTCTGGTGGTGGAGCTGTGTTTCTTGCTTGTGTGGGTGCCCACAGAGGTAAAGGGTGGGAGAGAAGTCAAACTCTTTTTACAACGCTAGGACTGAACCCAGGGATCGTGCATGCCAGCCAGTCATGTGATTCCAGCCTGCTGACACCCTTCAAGTAGACTGAGTTGCCCCATGTCAGGCCCCTGCTTCCAGTGTAGCCACCTGGGTGACAGAATACCCTACACACACACACACACACACAC